CAGAAGATGGGCCTCCATTCCACATGTGAATTCTAGGAGTAACTGTGACTAAACCTTTTAATTTTTGCTTAGGTTAGATTTGTTTGATCTTCCAGAATTTATGCCTATTGCAAGCAGTGATATTTCTGGTTTAAGAGCTGATTTTAAGCTAGATCTTAACCTTGCGTGTTTAACAGTGTTCAGATTTGGAGGTTTAATGAGAGATTCTGCAGTCCATCTCTTGGCAGACAGGAGATGGAACACAGCTTGCTGCGCCTAAAATGAGCCTTGACTGCTTCTGTGCAAATACAGTTGGGATGACTAGTCATATCATGCTGCTGTCAGAGATCTGCTCCTCTCCTTGGGCTGTCTCTAAGTGTTAAGTAGTCACAATAATGGTTTTGGCTCAGTGGCTGTGCTGCACTCTGATGTGGCCAACCACAGTGTTATTAACTCTGGTGACATGTGCACATTCAGTGGTGGCTCCTGCTGTTCGAGTGTTTTAGAAAGGTTGTTGGAAGGTGTACATGTGCTGCAGAAGCTGAAGGTAAGTTTTTGAAGTCCAGACAGTGGATGTGGGAACTACAGTTGTGATTTTGGTTATCTGTGCCAATGTAAAGCATTCAGATATATGAATAAGTCAATAAAGAGTTTTTACTTTGGCTGCAAGTGTGGCTTCTTTCTTGCAAGACCTGCATGTGTCCATTTGAGTTATTTACACGTGCCAAATCTGCCTTCTGGTGGGGACATGCCTTTGGGTGGCTGGGCCTTAAATTTGGTAGAATCTCTGGTTTCATTGCTGATGTGTTGTCTGGGAACCATTGCAGAAGTGGTGTGACCAGAGGAAACTGCTGCAGGGCAGAATCAGTAGCTGTTTTTTCAGTGGCAGTTGCTTAGGGATCCCTATTCAAGAAAGTAGGTGGAGCTCCAGTAGATAGTGAATTATTACAAAGTCTAAAGACATTTTACCTAGAGGTGAATGTACTGTCTTAGCTAATACCAGCTGTGCTGGCACAGTGTCACAGGGAATATCTTACAGTTAATAAGGAAATGTTCTGGAAATTGTTGCAAAGCAAAAGTTCGAGGGTAAGGGGAGCTTTAAAAGGACTGGGAAACAAAATGTGAACCTAGAACTGAGATCATTGGCAGGCAACACTTGGCAGCTGAGGTGGGGGTTCCTACTTGGAAGTGAATGGGGTGGAATTGTGGATTTACAACATGGATTAGGTCTAAGGAATTTACTTCCGGTGGTCGTGTTAGTCACACTTTGGTAGGGAGATTAGAGAACTGTCATAGGAACCACCTCTTTTTTTTTGTAAGCATATACTTTCTCTACTGTAGCGGAAGTGCAGCTGCATGTGTGTTGTGCTGGGAGCTATAATAAGTGCTGTCACAGCTGTTTGATTGGTGATGTGTGATTACTCTTTTAAACAGCTCTGTAAAAGCCCTATCGTATGACATCCTTACTGCTTAGGATTCCAGGTCTGGTAGCCAACAATCATGAGTGTGTGCTATGAATTTCCTTTTCTCTAAGAGGAGTTTACTTCTGTAGTAACCTTAGTGCTGCTAAGGGCAGTTATTTGCACGAGCAAATGCCAGGTGGGCTGGCCAGGAGAGCTGCAGCTTTTAGGAAGAGATGTTTTTGTGGAGAGAGTGATAAAGCATTGGAATGTGCTGCCCAGGGAGGTGTTGGATTCACCATCCCTGGAGGTTTTTAAGATGAGACTGAATATGGCGCTTTGTGCTATGGCCTAATAACCACGGTAGGGTTGGACTCGATGATCTTGGAGGTCTTTTCCAACCTGAGTGATACCATGATTCTATCCCAGGAACAAGGTGTGGGCAGGAAAGTGCCAGCACTGCGTGTGAGAGTGGCTTCCTTGTTTTTTAGGTGGATTTTTCTGTGCCTAGCATTGACTCCATGGAGAAGGCCAGGTGTAGGTAAATGAACAGGAAGCAGCAGGAGTGGGGCTGGGGATTGGTTTCTCCAGGGATGATCTTAAGTAAAAATATTCTGGCTCATAAAGGCATGAAACAGTTGCAGTAATATTGAAAGTGGAGACCACTGAGGACTGAGCTTTTGTTAGATATAAGCTATTATACTGCTGTGAGTAGCTGTGGAATTAAGGCAGCTGAGGTTCTAGATATCCTGCATGTAATCATAAGGTGGGATCTTGGTTTGTCTGTGGTTTACAGATAAATGCCCTTTTACTTGGGAAGTTACTCATGGTCAAGTTAAATACACATTAAATAGGCTTTGTGTCAGTTGCAGTGATACTGCTGCTCTTGGTTTACCTGTACATTCTCTGGAAAATGAACAAAAGCTTGGGAAGTTCAGGGGGGCTGTGTCTAGCTATTAAATCTTTATGATGTTGGGGGACCTGGGTAATAATAATAGCAGTGCCAAGTGTTTATGTCACCATTAACACTGACACGGCAACCTAACTGGTCTGAGTTAAAGCACATAAAACACTGGAAATTCTGTCACACAGGACAGACTTCCCTTTCTGAGAAGACAGCCCAAAGCTTATATGCTTTGAAGGAGATCCTTTCAATGGCATCACTTCTCACTCAGTAAAGCTCACATGAAGTTTACTGATTTTAGCTTGTGTACCTGCAGCACCAGCTTGTCCATTATCCAGAGTATTAATGTACAGAAGTTGTAGTCAGTGTGGCAATTTTTATTGTATACGTGTACATCATCAGACTGAACAAAAATGAGAATGGCATAACATGGAGACAGTTCATTTTGTGTTGGAAACTGAAAGGCATGCTGAGCATGGAAACAGTAGTGCAACATTGTAAAGGCTAATAAAGCATCCTAGTAAAAAAGCAAACCCAACAAACTACTGTACTAAATCTAAATGTTTACTACACTTAGTATGCAGGCTTAACCCACCTCCCTCCCCCCAAGTACTGTATTTCTGTGGTGCAACTTCTAAGAGAAGATGATTTTTTTCCCCTGTACACAACGCTTATATTGCACTATATAGCCTACTTAACCACACGGCTCAGAGAAATGGGTCTTGTATAGCAAAGCTTGGATGGTACAAGTAGATACATGTTGACAGATTTGCTTCCCCTTTAATTAAAAGGACTATGTATAAGTAAAAACTTAAATGGTTCACTAGCACAGTGTTTCACATTGGTCTAACAGTAGATGGTCACAGTACTGTGATTTTTGACATGTTTTTAAATATTTCACGCTGTTTCAAGTAGTGGAGTTACAGAGAACTAAAATATATTAAAGCACCTCACATACTAGTTTAGCACCAGTTCCAGTAAGAGATTTAAACTAGTCATGACCCTTGAAAACTGAAGTTTGAGGCCGGAGAGAAATTAAGGGCCAAGTGTTCAATCACATGGGCTTTGCAACATCATCACCACTTTGTATGCAATTGAGTTGTCATGGATATTTGCTCTAACACCAGAGAGACACAGAACCGTACAGAAATGATTGCCCACTTATAACATGAATGCAAACACCCCACTTTTTCAAAAAAACCACACAACACAGTCATAGAGTGCCTGGGGAATGGGAAATGGAAAGTGTCACTGGTAGTTACAGTTTGCACAATCACTATGTGGTGACACGCATCTGCCACACTTGTCACACTGGAGAGTTTTGAGGCCCACAGAGCATTCAGTTCATCTTTTTCAGAGTGTGTTTGTTAATGTAGTGCATAGAGCACAGTTGTAGGTACTCAGAGTGGCCTTTGACAGGGATCACAGAGGCAGGGCTGTGCTTTCCTGCCTCACTTTTGGCTGAAATCAGTCACAGGTATTTTCCAGACTGATACCTGTTAGTGCTGCACCAAGATGGTGATTACCTCCTGTGCTCTGTGTTCTAGGTTCAATGGGGTGGCCCTTTCTAGAAGGACAGTAAGTTGGTTTTCAGTGCATTTTTATAATAAGTTGTTAAGGTTTTCATAGAATGGGGGAACCGTATCTCAAGAAGATATTAAATGGAATCAAAATGTGTCAGTACTTTAGAAGTCACTGAAAACTATCTCTCAGCTTTCCTGTAAGATCAGTCTGAACCAGTGTTGCAACTAAGCAGGAGAGAGTCATCTAAATACTACCTTGTAGAAAGCAGTAGTTTAAAACATTATAGACTTTTTCAGACAAGTTTTGGCTCAAGATTCCACTGTATGTATTTTTAACTTCTCTTGTAGGATTGACAGAGGTTCTTTGTGCTACTTGAGTAAAGCCCAGCAATGGGAGGACTGGGATGTTTGTTAATCTGACACTGTACTGACAGCTAGCGGTACACAGGGTACGTAAATTCCCTCCAAAATGCTGTATGGACTCAAAATTGTGATTTTCAGAAATAAGGTAAGTGTTACTTGTTTTTGATCTAGCTCTTGCAGCCATGCAACGTTTGTGGGGAAACTAATTGTCTCTGTACTACCTGTTTTGCTTGGGAATGTACTGTATGTACACTAAGCTGTGAGAACATTTATCAGAATAGCTGGGGATCTGATTATTGACAATTATTTTCCTTCTAACATTTAGTACATACTCAGAATTACTTAGCAAGAATCAATCTGCTAGTCTCATTAGCTAATGAAACATGAATCAAAATTAGAGAGCTGATTGTAAGATCGTGGGAATAACAGGCAAACAGTCATGAAATGATTAAAGAAACTAGACTGGAGATTAACTGGGATCTGTAATTAATTCTAGAGAAGCCTGGAGCATAAATAGCTTGGAGCTACTACAATCTTCCTGTGGGCAGTGAGTCTCAGAGTGAAGTCTCCAGCTGTCCTGCTCCAATGTTACTCTAAGCTGGCTATCACTTTTCCCCTCAGATACATAGTAACTCGTTCCTGCAGTGTTTAAACTTCCTCAACAGGGAGGACAGTAATCCCTAACTGGAAAGGCTGTGTGTATACAGCTTGGATTTGACAGAAAGAAAATCAGGAAAATGTGTCTGTTTCCACCCAGTGTGGGCCCCAGCTGTGCACTGTCTGTGCTGTTCAAGTTGTCCTGCCTCAAAGTTTGGTTTTCATTATGGACATTCATAGTTTGGTCACACTTTTTATCCAGGGTACAAAAGATGATACTTTTGTGTAGACACCTGGGGAATCTTTGACCCCACAGCCATAGCCCCAGGAGGTCACACCATACACGACCCAGCTCTCCCCTGGCCGTTCACACATCAGTGGTCCCCCGCTGTCGCCCTGGCAGCTATCAACACGTTTCTGTTCCTGGATGTTCCCAGCACAGAGCATTCTTCCTGTGAACCTTCTTTTGTACCGCTCCTCACATACCCTCTTGGGCAGTAAGGGGATGGCAGCCTGTTGTAATGTTCTTGAATAAGCCCGTCCTAAAGAGAAAACAGAATTATTGTCTCATTGCAATGGCTGGGAACATAAATGTGATTCAGTCCAATTTTTGCTCTCACTCCTTCACACTGTTTTGTCATTAAATTACTGAAAACAAGATTAAATACTGAAAAAAATTACTGTGCATTAAATATAATACTAAAATACTATAGAGATAGTAAATGAGAAATACAGATGCTTAAAAAAACCCAACAAGATGTAGTTTCACTCCTTGTGTTCACTGGATCTTTCCAAGGCTCCTGGAGTTTGGTTTGTTCCAAGCACTGTGTCTTCTACAAGAATATATGCATTAGTACTTATATGGGAAAGGAATTTTGGGGAGTCTTGAGCAGTAGAGAGTTAAGCTGTAGAAATACTTCATTTCCAGGTCACCAGTTCAAATCTAGTGTAGCTCAGCCTGACAGGTGTTGCATCTTCTGCTGGCTTCCAAGTAGAACATCCAACTTTGGATCTTTCAACTTTTTACCTATAGCTTGCACCTCTTTTTCAGTTGGAAACATGGGAAATGAAAGCCAGTGTTGGTTTGGCCTTTTCAAAGTAAAATCTTAATAGTTGTACAGTAATTATGATTCACACAGTAAGTGTGAGATGCCAGTTGAGGTACTGCAATGATGTAATTTCTTACCGTAACTGAAGCCAATTATTGCAGTGGTTAATGTTTGCTTATATAGATGTCCTGAGCTAACAGTATTGCAGAACTTTCAGTGAGTTATGTAAAAAGGCTAGACAGAGCTAGGCAATGAATTAACATTGTTTTTAGCAAAAACCCACCCTATAAGTCTCTCCCCTTTGTTGTAGTACAGTGACCCAGACATCTGTGCACACAGATCAGTGCATGTAAAGGGGAAGAACTGATATTTGGCTGCCTTGTCTCCTTGCCAGTTCAAATGAGTCACTGGAACAAAGGCCCAAGTGTGGTTGCTGTCTCGCACTGTATGCAGCTCCATAAAAACATTAAAGTAAAACATGGTTATTAATTTGTAAAACATTTAAAGGACAAAGACCTTTGAAGAGGAAGAATCTTGTACTGACCAAAAAAGTGACTTGAAGCCTGGAATGCAGATTGCATTGTGGCTCTTGTAAATCTTGGCAAGATGTTCTCTTATTTAAATCCAACTGCTGATTGAAAATGTCAGTGGGAACAACGGAGACTAAAATGTTATTTCATATTCTATTATGTGTGTATTTTCAGTCCATTTTTCTATTAAGTAGTGTAATTTAAATAACCTTTCTAAAATTAAAATATTCATGGCCCTTACCTTTAAAAGCTTAAATGTGTTCGAGCTGTTAGTTCTGTACTGTGGCAGGGGGTGATAAGCTGCTGTGCAGGGTGTGCCTGGCAACAAATAAGCTTTTTATTCCTGCTTGTCAGCCTTAATGAGGCCCATTTTGCTGACTGGGTCTGTGATTTAGGGCGACATGGTTAATCACTGCTCTTCAAATACAACCTAAATTCAGCAAAGTGGTGTCATTCCTGGTTAAGGATCAGGACAGAAAATATTCACCTTTATAAAAACAGTAAAATTCTTTCATTTTGAGCATTTTCTTATTTTAGCTACTTGAGATTTTTATTTTTTTTAAAACAATCAGCCTCAGGTAGCAAGGTTGGTGCCTGGAAATCATTAGATCATTAAATTTGCCCGGGGAGGTGGAGGATCCACCATCCCTGGAGATTTTCAAGAGGAGACTGGATGTGGCACTTAGTGCCGTGGGCTAGTAACCACAGTAGAGTTGGACTCAATGGAGGTCTTTTCCAACCCAGTTGATTCTGTGATTCTAAATCATTTTTACCTGTGTCACCCCATCCAGTGATGTAACAGTTGGGAGCAGTTTTCTGTGGTCTCTCTCTCCTCAATGGCAAGCAAGCAGGTAGGACATGAGTGCTGAATCTGGCACACTGCTCCTCTGGCCCCTGCAGCCTCACCAGGGCAATGTCATAGTCGCTGCTGTCAGGTCTGTACTCTTTATGCATCACAATCTCTTGGACTCCAATTTCTTCCTCGTACTCCTCCGGTACCAGTGTGTGGTAGTCTCCAACCCGCACAGCATAGTTCCGAGTGTTGTTGCCATACCTGAGAGGGAGGTGATAAACAGGGTTGGCTCTTTCATAGTCAGATCCTGAGCATGCAAACTGAGCTCATCGGGGTCTTTATTGCTCATAATCCCAAAATAATTTTTTTGAAAGAGCAAAAGCGCTTTCTTAGATGTTTAGATTGACATTCCAGTGTGTCCTAAGGAATATAAAAAATCTCCTGAAGTTTCAGATTGGACTGTGTTCCCTTTTGTGTATTTTCACAGGCAAGTTTCTTGTGGCCATCTTCCCTGACCAGCACTTACTTCAGAGGTGCAAGCCGGGTGTGCATTATAACTATCTCTAGTAAGGATAACACAAACTCTTAACAGTAATTACAATGAAATACTGCATACTAACATCATTGTGGTGCTCCAAAAATTACTGAAATGTACAATGTTCAAACCTGCTTTGTAGGTTGGCTGAGAAATTCTAGAGGCTTAGATAACTTGATAGAAACCTCTTATATCAGCTGAAGTTATAGTAAGGAAAACAAAGCTTATGTGCATCACAGGCACCTTTTGTCAAAGGGACAGAAGGCCTGTAAATCTTAGACTTGTTTTGCATCTAACATGATCCAATTTCTTTCACATCATAGACTAAATGGTAAGTACATTAATGATTATTACTGTGGCTGAAATAATTTTCTGTGCATGCCCATGGAGATTTTTGTATTACAGGACACACAGCCCTTCTAGGAAAATGCAAACAAGGGAGTACTGTTGGGTAGATGTATTTATTTTAAAATCTGACTAAGCTAGCCCAAATATTTTTCCTTTGACTTCTCCCTTTCCCTCATAGCCTTCAACAGGAAATTTCTAATATGCTTGCAGAAAATACCCCACAGTGTTTCATCCCCTTCTAACCTATACCTGTTCTTTTTATACCCTCCAGCAATGTGCTGGTCTCCATAGCTTGCTAAAGCTTGCTTGAGGAGCAGCAGGCAAAGCAGGAACAGTACAGTTTCCTCCTGCACAATATATTGCTGTACCACTGAATATTTCTTCTAGTTGTGGGTTGCATTCCTGGTTGCCTGCAGAGCTTTATTTGTCTAATGCTGCAGATCTCCTTCAGGTCTTCCATCAGTGACTTAATTTCTAGGCTTCTAAGGAGAAGGAGTTGCAGGCTGTGAACAAATGTGTTCATCTGAAGTTGACCTTCTGTATAGGATATATGAAGGTTTTTTCTATTATTATCCAAAGTTAATTTTTTTAAATGTATAGACCTTCAAATTCCCTATAAATGTCAGAATCTCTCAGGACAAAACTTGCTAATAAGATGGGTGGGTTATAAAAAGAAAAGTAGCTTCAAACAGTTTTTGATCTTTAATTATGTGTCTATGAAATTATGGAAACCAGTAGTGCCACTTCACTACTGGTGAACAGTTCTGATCATCATTCATAAAACTGTGTTTAATTTTTATCCCTAGTACAGATGAGCCCACTTTGGTTACTTAAGCAGTGTTCTGATTTCCAGGATGTGAGAAATGGTACACTGGCCTTTCTCTTGTCCATCTGTGGAAAATATGTGAAGAAGGTGCTTGATCTATAGATAGCTCTTGGAAACCTATCCCGTTAAAATCACCCTGAGATCGCTGGGAAGTTCAGCCCTGTCCAATGTCAGCTGAGAGCTAAAAGCTCCTTTTCCCTTTTGCAGCTAACAGTGGTGCATCCACAGGCTGTTGGACTTGCATGCTTAGGTTTGGACTGCAGTTTTAAATGCAACATCTGGGACAAAACAATACTTTGGTCCCTGAGACCACAGGTAACAGTTTTAGGACAGCCTGTAGGAGCCCCCCGAGTGGCTGTGCCAATCTGGAAGTACCAGAGTGTACACTGCTCCAGCCATGCTGCTGCCCCATCACGTGGGTGTTCAGCAAAGTATCCAAAATGGGCACTCCTTGGCAGCACATTCAGTTTTCAAGCCTCTAGTCAAGGGCTTTCTCAAGAGCTTAACTTGCATTCTTAGAGATGCAATCACTACAGAGATGATGAACAGGGAACTAGGAAGCCAGTGTTTATGAATTTTGACAAGAACAACTGAAGTGCTTCCACAGAAACAACCGGTACATCGGTTGAAGTAGCAGAAATTTTGTTGAGTTTTACCATTTCAGCTTGAAAACCAAGAAAAGTCCTCCATGATTTTCAGGTGACATGAAAATGAAAAGATGTGCATCTGGCACTAAGCAAAGGTCACATTCTGCATTTGAGTAGAAGGACAACTGGCTCTTTGTTTTAGTGTGCAAAAGGAAAGGCTCAAAACCCAAATTTAAAACATTTGCAGTCCACCTGAGCACATTGTAGCAGATATCCTCAAAACTGCAATGCTGTTCCATTTGCTTTTATTCCAGTCTCCTCTAATGAAATAATTGCTGTCAAAAGCTTGAAATATGAGACCTGCTTCCTTCCTGTGCAAGTTGATGCTTTTATACTGCAGTAACTGGGCTGGGACAAGATGATCTTTAAGGTCCATTCCAGCCCCTTAACTTTCTATGATTCTGTAAACTTCATCATCAGTGGATTCCTGGATCTTGTCAGTGCCATATTACAGTAGAAATGTCTGTCACTGCCAATATCTGGCATTATGATAATTAATCCAAAACATTACAGTCCCCATGTTTGGTGTTTGCTCTGTTGTCTTCACTATAACCTGAAAGTCATAACTTGCAGTTTTGTTGGAACAGAAAGTTAAAATGTCAGAAGTGTTGCTTATATTTTTTATGAAAATGATGAAGCTGTGAATATAAATCACATGAAAACACTCAGAATAATTTCAGTGTGTTTTGTTTGTTTGAGGGAAAGAAGATTGATTGGTAATTTTTTTTAAAACCAAAGGCCAACTCTCAGAACAGCTTTCTGTGGGCTTGAACTAGAGTGTTTTTGCCTCTACCCTTAACAACAAAACAGTTTTCAAATGCACTGTGCTATTGCAGAGAGACCCACCTTTTAAAGCAGTGTGCAGCAGTGAGGACCCAGCAGCTGCTGATGAGTGTAGCACCACACAGGAGCCTCCCGTCACCATGAGGGGATTTCAGTCTCAGTGCAACCTGCCACGGCCAGCCACCCCTACAGAGGACATGGGACAGTGGGTAGGTCAGGGAGCTGATCAGTTACCCTGAATGTAAACCCTGTTTAGCTGCTTTGACTGACACAGCTTCCAAACCCTGATGTTTAACAGTGGAATACCTTTATGCTCCTGCAGCACTCAGAATTCCACTTGACAATGGTCTGGATAACTTTACAGAGAGTTTATGCATCCAGCACTCTCAGTGCTTCCTCCCACGGTCAGATATTTAAATTTTCCCTTCTCAGATTGCATTGATTGTGCCAAAAATACATTCTATGGCTTCCTCGCCAAATACCGTCCAAGTCAACAAACCAGAAATTTCCTGTCAACTGGAGAGGGGAAAGGGGAATTTCTTGAAAAGCTTAACCCAGCATCCTTTTCTGTCTGCATTAATATCTTTGTGGGTTCTGAACTGTCTGGAAAGGGAAGCTGGCAAGCCAAGAGGTCTAAAGCAACCGTAGAAACCGCAAGTAATAGATGAGCACCTTTTTTCAGCCTACAATCAGCTGTTTTATGTAGTAGATCTGGGATACTTATTTGCAGGCCTGTGAAAACAGGATGGATTCTTTTTTGCCAGTTTAACAGATTAGGAAAATAAGGAATCAAGAGAAGGGAGAGGGAGAGAGATGTACCTGTAAGCAGGAGCAGCATCTAACAGCAAGCTACAGGTAGTCATAGGTGTTTTCTGACTACTCACAACCTGAACGGTTATGCTGGACAACAAGAGCTGCCAGGGACAATCTAGTCCAGCATCCTATCTCAGAGATGTCAGTGCCAAATGTTTTAAAGTAAGGTGGATGAATTTACTTCTCATAAGCATAAAACGATTTAGACACTTGTTAGTTCTGAATTTAATACGTTTTTGTAAAACGAGGTAATTCAGACATCTTTGGATTTCCTGGTCTGTGTGTTAAGTATCCAGCTCGTTTTCGAACTTCCTCAAGTTCTTTGTCTTAACGACTTCTTGTGACAGTGAGTCCTTCTCTGATACCATTGGTATGTTCCTTTTCCTGGTTTTGAAGCACTTCTAAGTGCACTATTGGATTTATCTCACCTCTTTGCTTCATCTCAAGTCCCTGTATTTATTTATTATGAGACCAGCTCTGACTGAATTGTGCAGTACATTATTTGTCACCGTTTTGTTTCATTCAGTGTCCTCAGTACACATACTCTGAGACAATTCTCAGTCATCTCTTTCTGTACAATGCATTATCTGTCACTCTCACCTGTCTCTTTACTAAGGTAAGTCATTCTACTTTGCTTTATCCAACTGCATTTAAATATTTTTCTGGGTTCCCTCTTGTTACTGTTCTTTGAAGCTCCTTCACTTAGGCAGTGTCTATTTTGAAATGGATTGGTTGGTGCTGTGCATGTACTTTGAAATAGGTTGCACAATGACATGTAATGATACTGTATTTTGTTACTGCCTTTTGTAAGATTGTGTGAATTTTTTGTCACAACTGTTAGGAAAATAATGCCTATGCTTCCTGGGTTTATAGCTGTGTCATCATCAAGGCTTATTTTGTGAAGGAAAATCAGGTTTTAGGGCAGCAAGTCATACCCAGGGCCTTTTTTTGGTGTAGGTAGCATTTAAAACCTTGCACTATATTTATAGCTCTTTATATAGCTCACATCCTGATATCAGGGCATCCTTTGATTAAAGTAAAAGAGCTATTTTGTAAGTTAAATATTTAACCAGCTCAAGGACTAAACCCATGAGCATCTACAGATTTTCAACTAATGCTGCAATTATTCAGTCTATACTTTCTATATATTCAATATTGCTTTTAAGTATATTTCTGCTTCATGACAAGCCAAAAGAAAAACAAACAACAAACCTACAATAAAATTGTAAATTAGGCAAACCACTTATACATGTCTTAGAAGCTTTATATTCAAAATTACTTGTCTTTACCAATTATTTACCGTAAAGAATTTTTCCCACCAATTATTCGCTTTTGCCGACGATGTAGTAACCTCAGTCCACAAACAGAAGCAAGAGAATCTAGACCAGAAAGGGAGATGTAGAGAGCATTAAACTCTAAATGAAAAGCAGCCAATCTTCAATGAGAGTTAACTTGAAAAAAAATAAAACCATGAAGGTTGAAGTTATTCTGTGTTTCATGATAGCTGTTAACAACCCAATTTTGCTTCAGGAAAATACACTGAACTCTCTCAGAAATTCTTCGTAGCTGAGATCTTTTGGCTGTGATCACAGAGCCACTTATGCATTTGTGCTCTGCTCTTCAAGTGCAGAATTTATACTTTCTGTAAGTGGAAGCAGAGCTTGACCTACCACACAGGTCTTAGTCCTCAGCCGAGGATAACCTATACCTTGAAAAGCTGAAAGGAGCTGTCTAGGTTTTTGCATTTTCACGTCCCTGATGCAGCTTAATTAACATGGCTGCAGACAAATACCCTGTTTGAGTAGTCTTGATGATTCCTTTGTGCAGCTGGCACAGCTATAAGCTCAAATCCTCAGTAAGAGAGGATTCCCACCCCTTTTGTTTCTGTGATTCTCTTTGATACAACTATTGCCCTCCCGTGACAGTTGCCCATCTGAGCTTGTTGGTCTGCCATTCACAGCAGGGATTCACCTTTATTGCTGTTCCCAGGCACCTTCTTGCTGAGGTGGTCACAGATCACCCCTGCGTCCTCGCTGTGGCGGCAGTTGTGTGTCCCGATGTCCTGCTTGATGCAGTCTGCCAAGGATCTCTCACTTCCTGTGCATTTCACATTATCCACGTGGATTGGGCCTTTGCCCTCACCAAAATAGGCCATTGTCCTTGCTCTGGCTGGACCTCTGGAAACACAGCATATTTTCTTAATTGAACATTTTGAGGCATTACTCTACATTTTACTCAAACATTTCTGAGTGAGCAGCGGAAGGCACTGAGGTTTTATTCCAACTCCTGTCACTAATTCACTTGATAACAACCTTCTTCTCATCCCTTCTCTTACTCTGGTATGTAGAAAAAAATAATTAGGTCTGACAAAATTGCTACAGTTCATTAATGTTTAAAAAGTGCTTTTATGTATCTAGTTAGAAGGCGCTAAGCAAAGTATTTTATGTTGTAACAGCATTACAAATAGCTATAAAAATATGTGAAAGCTGCTTTTTCATAATCTCTTTAATCCTCATATAAAATCATCATCTGTGAATGCTAAAAATACTTTGTTCAGGTCTGATTCCCCCAGAAAGATGGGCCAGTTAAATACAGTATATTTGCAGTGTGGTAGGAGCTATGAGTTACAGATCTATTAGTTGTTAATAGTTATCAACATATTTTGTTACATGGCATTTTAAAGGGCTCCTCACAGCTGAGCTCTAAAAATGTCATGTAATGGAGCAAGACTGAACCCAGTTCAGTGTCTGCATCCACCTTTTCCTGGGAGGAACCCAGTATTTGGTGTCTGTGCAGCATTTAAGCATCTCAGTTGGGAACATTTGTGATAGATTATTACTATTAATTACTTAGGATAATGCTTCTCAGTATATAAATAGTTGTTTTGTTGTATGCAGCTTAAGAGTCAGAAAAAGTTACAAGTGGGAGACCACCCAACTGGCTATACAAAGAAGTGGGACAGGAAGCCACAGCTGCCTCTAGGTGTGCCTGAACTACAGGTTTACACATCAGTTAAGAGCAATTTACTGATATTTTATGGTTATAAAATGTATGGAATTTGAGATAATTCAAATGTTGCATTCTCATAGATTTCCATTTTAAAGGCTGTGTTATAATTGAATGTTTTAAAGGACTGTTTCTGTGTATGCAGAATGGCAACTGCATGTACAATGAAATGCTGGAGTAGAGAAGGAGAGTTGAGCAGTGAAAATGTGTTAGGCAAGAAAGTATTTATCCCCTTTACACCCTTTTTATACCTCTTTAATACCAGTGTTGGAGAAGATAGGTGAGCGTGGCATAAAGAGTTTATGTCCCTTCATCAGCTGGGGGTTGTCTGTTGGAGAGGAATTCTGATGTGTCATACCATGTTCAAAGCTTCATCATACTACAAGTGTGTCTGGATCAAACTCAAAGAATCCAGCCCACAACTGGCACATCCATGTAACTGAAACATGAAAGTAATACCTACAAGCTTCCTCCCTTTCCAAGCTTGCTGAAAAAAACAGGAAAGAGAAGCACACAAAAGATTTGACAGAGATGATACCGCAAGGTCAGCTGTCCTTACACATCTTTAATTTCCATGGCTAGGGTGTATTTACCAGATAATCCAAAGCCTCAACTGCCTTTGGAACCTGCATAGGACAATCTTTGCCTGATGAGGTTAGTATGATTTCAGTTGTCAGTCACAAGCAATGTGTCTCATCTTGCTCCAGATGTTTTTCTTTTGTGAGTGATACTCTGATTACAGATAACCACAAAAAACCAAGGCCAGCTCTCCGATAGCTGTGGGGCTGATGTGTCCATGTATGCTGTTAGGAAATAGTGAGACAGTACAGGCACTTCTAGTAAATTCTTACCTGCTTTTGGTATCTCTCTGTCAAATAACAAAGCTTCTGCTTTAGGACATTGCTCTAAAGTTCCTCAGGATATTGGAAACTACTTTGTTGTGAATCACCACTTAGCCTTTCCCAGAGAGGTATTTATTGCAGTTTAGGGTAGAATAGTCTCTGCAGACTCTTACCAGCTGCTTAATGAGGGCACTACCTCCTTATTACCTTCACATGAGCTTTTCAGGGGCAGTGTTACCATTATTCATAATACTGTTAATCAGGAAATCCAGTGGCTTAGCATAGATGACAAATTATCCTAGAACATTTTTCTTCCTGTAGTAGATGACTTTTGGAGTACTTATCACTGGGTATCTGTTCTTTTGTGGGGATGGGGGGTGCATGTGCATCCTTACAAGCCTGTGCTAAATGAGAGTGGTCCAATTTTACTGGGCCACTTCATTCACTAAAAGGCAAGAGCTTCTAAAAAACATGGTGTGGGATAGGTGGTTGAATTTTATCATCTGAGGGAGACATAAAAGGCCAGAGAGGCTAAGAATAAAGTGGACTAAATGAATGATTCAGTGTGAGATAAGTAACTTATAAGAGAAAGAATTTGAGTTGTAAGTCAAGGCTTGTAGTTTTGAAGTCATAGTCTATTACTCCTTATAAATACTCTTGACTAAACGTATACCAGACAGTTTTTAAAAGGCACATATTATGTGTTCAGACATAATTTGATGATACTCTGTTGCACAGACTTAGCATTGTTAGATACAGCAAACAGTTAACATGATTTGTATTTCTTAAGCTCAGATTTCCTTACAAATACACTCAGAGAAGACATTTCACTAATTTCCTGTTGTATTTCACGAGTGTTCTGGATATTTTTCAAGACTCATTAGTTCTGCTATTTATGTATCTACCCTATAGCTGTTATATTTTTCCTGCTCTTAGGTTTCCAGGAAAAAAACTGCTAATGAGTGAATGTAAGTCTGATTAAGTGATTTATTTCAAAAGTGACACCAACGTTACAGCGGTTTTAATTAGAGGGTGGGTTTGTCCTGTCAGGTCTATCCCTCTGTTAAATGAAGCTTATTCAAATGACTGTCATGCAGGCCAAAGCCATAATCCTTTGTGTAACAGCTTTATCAAATCTCCAAGCTGCATCAAGTTAGAGCAGTAAATGAAGGGGAAAAAAATCACAAAATTAGGAATTGAGTAGCTGATGTGCCTCCACCTGAATCTGCAGACATCATATCCACACCCTGTGACAGTGCACACTGACCTGTTTCTGTATTTCATTACAAATTTTAACTGTTGTGTTAGGCCCTGTAAGGGCTTCAAAGTCCTCATTAAGGTTCACAAAAGCTAAGTTTTGACAATGTGCAAAATTATACCTTTCAGTGAAAACAGATCAAGAGCTTTTTGAAACAAAGTTGACAAATAAAATTCTGTGTTTAGTTAATAGCTTAGTAACTTGGAATATTTAACTTCTAACAAAATTACTTAATACCCAGCATTAACTTGCATTTCAGTTGCCAGACTCTGATATGCCTTTGAATACTAACATGCCTCTTCCCAGTTATGCCAGTTAATGAATACTCATTTATACAAATAGTACAAATACACTTTTCTAAAAGAACACCAAACTGACAAGTTTGAAAAGGCACATATCATCTTATCAGACATGTGTGTGATATTTGATTGCACAAACCTAACATTTCTAGATACAGCAAATAGATAACCTGAGAAACAGCTTAATGAGTTTTCTTACTTGTAGCCAAGCTGTCGGCAGACTACAGCTGCATCCTTATCAGACCATCCATCATCACAAATTGTGCCCCACTGGCCATTGATAAAAATCTCCACACGTCCTTCCTTCTTATTCTCACCATCCATCAGCCTGATGGGAGGACCTGGGAATGAATTACTGCTGTCAGCACACAACAACAGAGGCAAGAACTGGTACTTTAAGTCATTTTCATTACATTCAGTATATAGAGTCAACTGATGTTTATGCTCAACAAGCCTAACATCAGCTGTTAAAGTAGGCATATTTTTCCTGGCTGGCAAAAGGAAGCAGTTTGTACAAATTACAGGTGAAATACCAAATACTACTGTATTTTGAACTCCAGAGTTCAGCTGGTTCCTTCATTTCATACAAATGTGTGACAGAGCTCAGAAATTGACCACAGTGAGCACAGAGCAATTCTCCACATAAAGGCAGACAATACCTGAGATATATTCGCTATGGTCCCATACAAGCTGGACAGGTTTTCCATGCAGAAACTTTATGGGTGAATTTAACTATATCTCAATCCATAAATCCATTCTCAAATTAGTTGCTGCTGCTCCTCTTAACCACGATCTCGGCAAAAAAAGTGCAGCACTGTGTTGAACCTCAGCTATTCCTTATCATTACACACGCCACTCTGCGGCGTGTGATAGCATAATGTTCTGCAGCATGTTATGCCAGACTCATGTCTGATTATTTTCCTAGCACATTAAATTGATTGCTTATTCAGATGTGTTCATAATATGAAATGTCACTTACGTGGATTAGTCAGTCTCAATCATGGTTCATTCACTGCTTGGTCTGCAGTTAAATTTTGAATCATTAGGCAAAGTACATAATTCTCACTTAGGTTAAAGTTCCTTTGTAGCATGCAAGCAATGCAAGGAGCCCTAAGACAGTTAGGAATTCCTCTGAGGCCTCTCTGTAGTGTTTGAGTGAGAATCACCTTCTAAATCTTTTTGTATGTCTCACTTTATAATCTTTAATGCACTCATGAGAGTTTCCTTTTATAGTAATTGAAAAGATTCTTCCTCATTCTTCTAACCTGTTTCTAACCTTTTATAAATCTGTAAGTATCAGAAATTACTTCATTGTGCTCTCAAACAAAGCAATATTTTGAGATATCTGCATTTGATATTGAATTCATGATAATTTAGGGTATGAATAATTTTGTATACCAAACCTGATTCTTGATCAGTGCTAGTTAAATCTGGCCTAATGCATTAATTAAAGGAGGAAATAATTGAAAAGAAAATTGAAGTCTGCTTGCTTCACCTGTCATTTTCAGCATGTAGTTTCTCTTGGAGTTCATACTGTCTGGACAGCTCCATGAATTAACTTTAGCAACTTTCTGTTCACCTACATTGTCATGGTCTTACATAGTGAACAAATGTTGTAGTTACTGATGTGTACCTCATTTCTAGTGTTCATTTTTCCATCTCATTTTTAATGTTTCTTAATACCTGTATTTCCTCAGTCACATCATCACTAATTTTTGCCATTTTCCCACTGAATTCATCCTTACAGGGAAAAAATGCTTTTTCAAATGCTGGGCAGTAAATGGTAACAAGAGAGTCTTTGTCCACTTTCCAATCAGAAATATTCTCGGAAATGTCAAACTGTCTTATTTTCTTGTGGAAATCACATGTTACTCTGGAAGAAGACAATTTAGGTGAAAATTATACTTCCATTAACCAGCTATAGGCATGGGATATTAATGATACAGTATAGCTATTTTATTGTTCTCTCATCTTCTAGTGGTTTAATATATATATATATTTATGAGCACAAAAAATACTACCACATTCTGGTGATGGGGGATGTGAGAATGTTACCATATGGATGTATTTAGCTGAACCAGACCTCCTTCAGCTGAGATTCTATTTTATAGGCATTTGAGCAAAGCAGCACAGATGGTTTGCATCTGTAAAGACAGCAGTCATGATATGAATTCCTGTTATTTTGGGTTTGAGAAAATTCCTTCTACCAAATATGATTTGACATCATCCACACATAATGGAACCGTACTGCAACATAAAACGTTCACTGGATTTTGAGAGGTCTGAAGGCTATAAAGAAACAGACTATGAGGATGGAGAAACTAGAAAAGCACATGTGGAAGTACTGAATGTTGTTGTAACAGGTAGCAACATCATGCAGTAAATCATATTTTGTGGGATAGACCTTCAGCCTATGATTTCCAGAGAACTTCAGGCATGCAGACATTACATTTCAGCAGAAGCTGGGAATCTAACTCCACTAGTTATAATTCTAATTCCCAAATTGCCTAAGATATTCTTGGGTAAACTAAAGAATGTTGGCAACAGTTTTCTAACGGGCTGCATACTGACAAGCTACAAACTGTGTAGCAAATTGTAGCAATGAACTTGTGTTTCAGAATTGCTGAGCAACCCATTGTTCCCCTGTGGTTTTTACTGTGCATAGATGATAACCAGAACTATTATCTAATTATCTACATGTGGATTTAAGAATCTTTGGGATTTATTTGTATATATTTTGTTCTACAATGTCACTATGTAATTAGTATTTTTCTCACTCTTCTTTTCTTATCTGTCTTTATATTCTTTCTTTCTTTCACACAAGTTTGTGGGCTTTTGACATTGGAACTGGCTCCTTGATCTCTGTTTGTATTATCATTCTGTGCTGGTCAGCATGTGGGTCCCATTCACCCAGGCACAATAGAAATGATAGGCAACAGTAACAAATAATTTCATGCTTCTCACCCTTCATTCTTGCTGTCTCTGAACTTCCTTTCTTCTCCCTATGCCTCATTTTGGATCATCTGAATGTCAAGCCATAGGAGGATATACTATTGATTTATATTCCTCAGTGCTCAGGTATGTCTTCAACATTTGATACCATGAGAGAGTCACTCAGAGGTTGGAAAGTACTGAGTAAAATTAGGAATACCATCAGGAAGTGCTGAATAGGGCTAAAATCTGGTGAAGAGTGAGAGAACAGCACCTCTGGAATGTGATTTTGTTACCTGGCAAATCCACATTGATCTCTACTGTCCTTGCTGCTTATGTTCTTCTAAACACAGCTTGATTACTTCCTATGATTTTCAGGAGAAAAGTGAGCTTTTTTCTCTTGCTCTTCCTTCTTTGCACACATCTGACAAACACTAGGAGTTTGAGCATCCTTAAGTGTACTGTACTTGGCTCAGATCTGTACCCACAGCAATGCTCATACTGTGACATTACCAAAGAGCTACCTTACCAAGGGAGAGTTTATGGCTGTCGCTGTCTGGGTGGCAGATGAGTCTGACATCCTCCTGATGGTTGCAGTCATGCTTTCCCCACTCTCTCCGTGAGCACTGCAGAAGGTTTGTCTCCTTCCCGGAGCAGCTGACATCATCCAACCAGATGGGCCCAGAGCTTCCTTCTGAGAAGCTCTCAGGTGCACTTCTTCCATACCTGCACAACACATGTATACACAACTCTTTGGTCCATGTGATGCTTAAGCACAAGAAAGGAAATTAGTTACTCCTGAAGAACTAAAGGTTTTTCAAGTATTAACAGTGTTAACCATAACAGAGCAGGTTCAGTTAGCACTACGTTCAGTGAGAGCACCATATGCTGCCTCTTTGGTAATGTTTTTTTAAGGAATTATTGTTACACTAGTACAAACTTAAGAATGTAAAACCTTTGATTAAGGCCTCTCTTCAACCAAGCAGATGGCTGTCTCACTGACTTTGAGACTTAAAGCATGTTCTTAGTATTATATACACATTTAAATGTCTCAGTCTGGAAAAAATGAGACAAAAATTTTCCTGAATGTGAGCTGTTATAATCTAAAGGCAAGACAACAGTCATCTATTGAGAGTGTATCTTTGTAGCCACAGTCAGTAAGAAAACTAGTGAAGAAATTCTAACGGAATTTTTCTAAAATATGCTTTTCAATACATAAGAGTGTTCTAGGGCCAGACTCTGGGTTTTTCTGAGCTACTGCAGAAGGACTTATACCTGGAAAATATCTGTCGTTTTTAATGACTGTTCAACAGTCAAAGACTTCGAAGAATCAAACTTTTATAGGCAAAATAGAGTACAAAATTCATCTTTTTCTACAGTGTATGCATTGATCTCAGTTAGCCAAAAGGATGATTGAAAGGAACGTGGTGAATAGCCTTCAATGAAGGTGTGAAGGTTTTTCTTCTACCTAGACTGAGGCCAGGAATACCTCTTGGAGACTGAGGGAAGCAGGCTTGAATGGATCTTAACTCAATAGCTGCGATGAAGCACTCAGCTAATATTAAAAAAGTCTTGAGTAGGGTCCATGTAGGGTTCATGTAAATGTTTGTCATCATTGTCAAGTCACAGTCAGATATCTAATATCAAGTAATCTTACTTAAATCCCAGCTGCCGGCAAACAACCTGCGTGTTCAGCTCTGTCCACCCATCGTCGCAGACCGTGCCCCACTGGCCGGTGTGATAGACCTCCAGGCGTCCCTCATGGCTGCCCTTCCCACTGGCAAGTCTTAATGCACCATCTGTGTCGTTAACAAGTAAGGAAAAGTGAAAAACAAGGATCAGTTTTTCTTAGGTCCAATTATTGTTCTAAAACAAAATGAACAATGTTGCATTTGCTGCATCCGACCTGAAAACGGGACTGCTAAATGTAGTGCTGATCACTGCGTGTCGTTTGAGGAGCAGATGAAAGAAATGCCATCATGCACCCAGTCAGCTGTCGAGTGTTGCATAATGCAACTGCTTGAGTGCAAGAGAAATACCACAAGGTATCAATCCCCTGAGCCCTTATTACATGCCAAGACTGCAGGAGCAGACTCAGATGACATGATTTCACTGTGTATACACCTTATCTTTTTCTT